TTCCATTCTTAATATTGTGAACCATATTGTATTTATCACAGTATAACAAGATGAGATGAAATGATATGCTCCCTCTCAATAATTCTATAAAGAAGCACAATTAGAAATCTTTCCTCAAAATTTTCCCGATGCTAATGACATAACAAAATATTTAAATTTATGAATATAGCAATCATATTATCCTCAATGATATAATATTTATTTCATTTAGTTTCTTATCTCTTAGTAGCAGAAATCTTTGGAAACATGTTTAATTTTCCTTATATAAAATTTTAATCTTTTTGATTCTCTTAGCCTCGTACCCCATACTTTTGAGGTTGATGAATGTATATATCCTCCTCAAGTTTTCCATTTTAAAAATTTCATCCTCAAGGTCTTGCTATACTTCAAGATTATGGATAGACATAATAGCAAACATAATTTTAATAGATGTAAATTTAATAGTCATAAGAAAATGTCTCAAAAGTAATCCAATTTTTATTTTGAGTATAACCTTTTGGGCAGTTATTTAGATAACTATTTTTCTGTTTTTACACTTTTCCTTCTAGTGTTTTATTTCAAGACTCTTGTCTTTAATTCTAACCCGCATTCAAATAGTTAATATAACTACCTACTTTAATTACAATATATAGAAATATAATATTATCATAAGAAAATATATACACATATAGTATATAACTATATATACATTATTATTAGAAAATATAGTATATATTTTTAATATATACAACAAGTTACATTACATGATAGTGGTGAGAACCAATCCCGTAAGATTTTATACTTACTTGGTGTTGACCCATCTGTTAAGCTCTTGTTGCTCATTCTTTTTTCTTTTCTTTTTTTTTTTTTTCTTTTTGAGCGTGGGAAAATTTGGAGAGAGGGAAAATTTTTTTCTAGTAATTGATAAGAGTAAAATTCTTAACTTATTTAAACCCAAACTTCTAGCCTTAATTGATGATCCAATTGGCCGATGGCCTGGTTCAGCTCTTGTTGCTCATTCAATCTTCCTAAACAAGAGAAATGAATGTTGGTCTAGTCGGTGGAGTGCAGAACGAAGGTAAACAGAGTAGAATGAGGTAAACAGTGATTGTCAGCCTTTATCAACATTCAATGTAGTTGTCCCTGAATCGAAGAAAAATAATATTTAATGTATTAGTACCAATAGAGTAAATTATAAAACCAACCGTTCAACCACTTATAATGGCGCATCGCGCAAGAGGTTCAACAAATAATCACGTAATGGAAAAGCGAGATGAGCTTTACGGATTGCAGGGAGCTAATGTCGGCCTCTGAGGCGTCCCAACTCCAAGTTGCGCCGTGTGAAAAGAACTGGGAAAACCGGAATAGTGTGGCTAGCTCATGAGCTGGCAAGAACACTATTTATAGAAGCAATGAGTAATGGGAAAGGCCGATATATACTTTTTTTAGAATAATGTTGGGATAATTTTTTTATATTAACTGTTCATACAATTTTCACATATCATTAAATAAGTAAATATATTTAATATAATAAATTTTATATAAATTTAAAAAATTAATCATTTTAATGACACATTAAATTATACAAAAAAATGAAACAAAAAAGTTATACAAAAACTATTTCTAATTTTTTTATGAGATACTATTTATTAAGGTATTTTACACTAATTTTAAAAAGTATCTTTATGAGTTGAGTTATTATTTTAATTAGGGGTTTTTTTTTTTTTTTTTTGATAAGACTAAAAAAATAAGTTTATTTATTTCTACTGCAGTCTCTTTTTTTTCCAGCCTTTCATCTTCTCTTTGATTCTCTTCTCTCTTCAATTCCCCTAATTTTTTCTCTCTTTTGCTCCCCATTGTAACCCAATTGAAAACAATTTGCTACAGCAAAACATCCCAATCAATTTAGTTGCAAAAGTTGAAGAATATCTGGTGTTAATAGAGAAGCATCATCAAGAATATGACATGGTGGTAAATGATCAATTCGTATGATTTTCTTTTAATTTTCTCTGATAGAGATTAGATGAAATTATTATGGAGAGAAAGCTCTATATACCAATAAAAAAGAAGAAAATTATGAAGAGAAAGAAAGCAGTTGTTGTCCACTATTGACTTTTTTTCCCAATTCCTTTCAACTTCCTCTTGAGATTAAGTGAAATTATTATGGAGAGAAAGCTCTATATACCAATAAAAAATAGAGGAAAATTATGGAGAAAAATATGGTAGTTGTTACCCACTACTAGTTTCCTTTTAAAAAATAATCTATAACAACCTTTCTCATTTTCTTGAAAAAAACCTGCATATTTTTTCATCTTTTAATTTTCTCAACTGTTTCTTATCACATTCTTATTGTTTTAACATCTCAAATTAGCTACAGACATCACAAGAAAATGGTAAAGAAAAGTAGAAAATATCTCTAATTTGACAATAAAAAGACATTCGTTGATAAACTAATGGATTGCCAAGCAAATGCTGTACTTTTTCCCCAATTCTTAGTTATGGTGAGTTTAATTCGAATCACCAACTCAATTAGCAACTTGATTAATTGTGAAAAGGCAACTTTGCATCTTGAATTCTCCAATCTTTCGTTGTTTTCTTTCCTAACCTATTTCTGGGCACTTAAAATCCAATGCATCTTTTTCCATTCTGCACGTTATCTTTTAATTAATGACCTAGTGGAATCTTTTGCCCTAGTCAAAGTATTAAATGGTTGATAAATATTTTATTTGACAATACTTTTTAATGTTTTAGTTTTTATTTTTCTTTACTATTTTATAAAATATAAAATGTTAATTAAAATATATATTAAATATATTAAATATATTTTTTATATTTTTAAAATATTAAAATATTAAAAAACTAAATTAAAAACCTAACATTACAGTTATTGACTAACATGATCAAACTAAAACTTTGGGTTACGTTGTTGTTGCCAAAATATGAACTAAAAGAAGGAATATGTATTTTTGTTTACTGAATCGATCTCTAAAAAATTAATAAGAAAAACATTACAAAGTTACATCATTTCAATCAATTTGCATTAATTTTAAAAGATAAAAACAAGATATTCTTAAAGTTGGAATGAGAGTGTTTTGATTTTATTGAAATAATATATTTTTGAGGTGTTTTCCTCTTCTTCTTTTTTTTTTTTTTGGAAGCCATGTTAATAAGCACTAATATTATAAAAAAAATACAAGAATAATTCTTTTAAAAAGTGAACTCTAATTTTAATTGATTAAACACAAAAAAATGATTATAAAGTTAATTATGAAAGGCAAAAACATATCTTGATATCATCAAAAAACTTTAAATTATTGTATAGAATATTAAGAAAGAAAATAAAAGAATACTAAAAAAAACTATGAATTTAAATTTATTTAAATAAAGAATTAAAGTTTTTCTAAAGGCTTAACAGATGAGGAAATGATTTATTTTATTTAAATCATATCCTTATTTTTTAAAAACTTTTTATTTAAGTTTTAAATATTTTCTATACATTTAAAATAGCCTTTGAAATTCATACTATATAAATAAAATTTTTAACAAATAAAAGTTAAAATACCATATTAAATAGTTTTCAAAAGTTTAAGGGCGCTAGCCAACCCCCTTGTCGTTCATTTACTTTGTCTCTGTTTATAAGTAATATTATAATTATAATATCACATAAAAAATAATTATTTAATAATATATTATATTATAAATTTATAATACTATTTAATATTATGATTATATTATTTTTGTATACTTACGGCCATTAAAAGAACTTATCCCATCCCAAGTCCTATTTCAAATTGTGGGTATTACAATCATCAATCCTAATTATCAAACAAAAAAAAAAAAAAA